AAATTGATAACTATGTGTAGAACTGCACTTGAAATATTTTAAAAACCGCAAAATAGACAGAGATAACTATCTTGTCATCGAACGAACGAACCGAGTCCATATATTTTGCATAGAAGTCTAGGATAGTCTGAAAGAACACATAGGCTACTCTTTTTTTTAATTCCACGTGGACGGAGTCGCGGGCGAAAGCTAGTTATAAATAATTATGAGTTTGTTTCATAATTAATTCATTTACAAAATAATGTAGGTTTAAAATCATTATCATATGCATTAATTACACAACTAACATTTGCAATAACTTTAATAGTAAAAGTATGTTTTTATTGCCTTGATAATGTACATTTTGATAAGTACTGACGTAATGTTTAGGTAAATTAAAGCGATTATAATAGCTGTATCGGAAAATTTACATTGTAATATTGTAGAAATTTTCTCTAATTTGAAAAACTACCCGATAAAATACAAAATATAGGTATAATAGCGTTCAAACTTAAAGTCTCATTATTATTTGCAAGAGCAAGTTTCCATTTTCGGATAATACCAATACCAGTAAAGGATTGTGTGCAAGGTGTAGCCCCACCTTCAACTCATTAAACTTCCCATAAGTCTAAAATTGGTTTTACCCACAACACCTATTCCATTGGAAACTCCATACAATTTGGAGTGCAAAATTTACTATTACTAGCTATTGCTCATGACTTTCTCGACAGAAATTTAAAAAAAAATAATAACATAGCCTATGTTACTCACTGCTAACAGCTTTTTAATGGAGAAAGAATTTAAAATTGGCATTTTAGTTTTTGAGTACAATACATACAAAAATACATATATTTTCTTTTTATAATATTGGTATATACATTTATACTGCCTGTCATAACCCTTCCACAGAATATAAGCTGGTATATAGTGGGGTACAAAGGCTCAAGATTTATATGGACAATATCACATAGTATACATACCAAGTCAGACATTGTGATGTCCAATACACAACTCTCCAGAGGTTCGGGAATACAGACCCCGGTACAAAACTCCATGGTTTCTGACAATGGCCTGGCACTGGGGACTCCGTACTGGATACATTGGTTTGAAATACAACAGGGCTTGTTGAGTTGTCTTCTTGAAGGCATTGACGGTAAACGGTCTAAAAAAAGACATCGCTTATACTGAGATTGCAGATTTCAAATAAATGGGATCTAGTCAACTATGCACTAATTACTAAAGTTTAAACCATTCGTATTTGTTTAAAAATATTGATATTTGCATCATTATCAACATCATCACTGCTAGCTCATTCTACGTCCCCTCTGAGGGGCTCAGAGACTGCTCTAATAAGTGGTAACTAGGCCACAGTCAACCACGCTGGCCTGACATTTGCATTTTATACTTGAAGTATGAAAAGTATTTTTTTTCTTATAACATTATTGTATACAAAAACCAGAGTTTGTATATTTAAGGTGTTACTATCAAAATATTTGTTAATATCTTTGGTTATTTAATTTCACAATACTTACCGATGACACATCCAGGGGCAGTATAAACATAATAACAAATGAAAAAGTCCAAGCAATGAGGACTGACACTGTGACCAGAATGTGATTCCTGTAGCAATCTCCATATCTATAGAGTAATGTAGCTGCTAAAATGAATGCCGATATTATTTCTATTACGAACAGTATGTAAGCCATTGTTATTTATTAAATTATATTAAATCCAATTCATGAGGCTTGTTTAGCACTTTTATTTGTCTCCTTTCGTACTCTTTCCGCTTCTTGTTGTAGTTGTTCGAAATGCAGTTGCGTTGTAGATTTTAAAGGCAGTAATATAGGCCGCTGTATCTCGTATTCAGTTGGGCATTCTTCGAAGAACAGAATACCACAATCAGGGAGGATAGGATCAAACTCAATTGTATTGATTTCTTCCGACTTCTCGGACATCTTAGGTATTACGTTTAACAGACATTATCAATGATATTTTATACTTTTGGATAAGGCAAAAAAATCAAATCTCAATAAATATATCGTGAACAATAAAATTAAAATTAATTTTATAATGAATATAGATTATAGACACTCCACATATACGTCACAATCTCCACTCAAAGAGTACAAAATGTCATCTTACTGTCAAACAAATCATTTAACAATACAGACAAAAAAAATCAGACTATTACGAAAATAACAAGATTTGATATTTGTTAAAATAATAATAATTCTTAAATATTTTTTACATTAATTCATATTTTTTATTTTATCTTTCATCACTGAAACTGTATGGATTTTACAAATTTAACAAAACAAAAATAAGAAGTAATAAACATAACAGTCTTCTACCTGCAATATTACACATTGTTTTTGTAGTACATGATAATTTACCTGCCATATTTGGTAACTGAATGTATTACGCGGACGTGAAACATCGTTGTATCGTTGGCACGTAATACGTAGAAAAGGTACATGTATGTATCTTTTGAACTTATCTTTGATATAAATTGCCGATCACGTAAGAGAGCTTCAGGATAAATTTTCATTTTGTATGTTCCCCGCGTTGAAGGTTGAAATAAAGCTCTCGGAAGTTCGATAATCTTTCTTAACAAATGGCTTACATAAATGTATCTTGTCAAAAGAATTATTATTCTAACATAATATTTATCAATACATTTTCATCATTAAAATTTAATGATAATGTGACAAGTGAAAGTTAGTAAACCTAGAGTGTGTTTGGTGGATACGAAATTAACCTCCGAGTTATAGCTTTACTGGCCTTATGTTACATGTCTATTATAAATAAAGCCTTAGTGAATCTAGTCTGGCCACATCGTAATTTTGTAAAGGCAATTTAGCCGAGGTACAGCATAAATCGTTATTTTAAAGGGGTTACGAATTTATAACCTGAGGTTACCTCTAGTATACGAAACAAATAACAGTATTGTGTATGTCAGAAGTATTCAGTCAAAGAAAACGGGTAATATGACAATGTCTTACGAACTTTCGAATGATTGGTTATCTGATATTAACCTGTTGACTAATAAAAGATTATCAAATTTTATATTTGTATACTTATGTCACGGGTTTATTGTGTTCACTGACCGTTTTTAATTTTCCCAGAAAAACTGTAAAGACGTTGGTGTGTATACGGTCAAAACACAAGCCGGTGTACAGCTTTCATAATGTACGTAATATTTGGATTAAATAATTAACCCAAGGAATCGAGTTAGCTACACGTGCTGGCTTTACGACGTCGCGTCGGGTTGTACCATTTATTAAAGGGTATATACGGCGCAGGTGGATTTGAATTTTCCACCTAAACTATTCCGTTATTTAATAACTTAACATAAAACTTTGGAATCACTTAATAAACTTAATTTAGCTTATATTATTTTACTAGTTAGGATCCTATCCACTTTGGATCTGAACCTCTCGTGGATTTGGTTTGTTCTGTACTATAGACTCTATACCGAACTGTATGGTATCGTGGCGCAAACTTTACGTTCTTCTGCGCCTTTTTTAAATTCCATAATAATTTAGTTCCAGTAGAGGTTCTGTCCTACAATCTAAAGTATTCGTTGTCTTAGTACATTCAAATATATACTCTCTCACCAAAGCACTAAAAGACACGCACCAAATAAACAATACAGAGATTAATAAAATTGTTAACACAGATGAATTAGATACAACAGTAGAAAAACTTA